CTCTTCCACTGTCTAATTCATTTTTTACAAAACTCCCATCTTTCCTATCTATTCCTATAGACATTATGTTAATTGAGAATCTTTACACTTCACAGAGATACTGGATTATCACAATATTTATAGCTATTCTTCTAGTCATAAAACTGAGTGGCATATTACCATTAAGCCAATTATCAAATCATTTCCATACTACTTTATTTCCCTTGACTATAGGATCAAATCCAGATTCTTTTACCTGCTGTAAGTTAGCTTTAATTTTTTTCACCTTACCTCCCCTCACACTACTATGTAAGTTCCTAGTGTAGCCAATCTGGTCTACTTAACACCCCAAATACATTCTAAGCATTTCCCATGCCATTTCCTCCATCTGGAAGACATCATGTGCTCTGATTCTTTGAGGTTTATGTTAAACTTTACCTCTTCCCTTGTTAGCCCAACTCAGACATACTCTCATAGGAAGTTAGCACTGAAGGAAGATTCTGTCCTCCATCTGCAAAATCAACTTTAAAAAAACCAACTCCTCTATAACACTAAAATGTTTGGGGGAAACAGACTAAGGGACAACTGAAATACTTTTCTTTCTGAACATTACTTGACATATTTTGATCATTTCCTATGAGGCAGAAGCTATGCTAGCCACATGGACTTAAAATTTAGTGAGAAAGACTATCCACACATAAATTAAACAAGTAAATGTTGATGAGTGCTACAAAGAAAAGGGAAAGGGCAAAAGTGCACTGAAGGTGAAAGTTTGTATAGCTGAGAGAGGGACGAGGCACAAGACTGTTTTAATGCAAGATAGAAAGAGTTAATTCAGTCAGTGGCTTCTTCAAGTGGGAATAAAATCTTTTAAGCAGGGTGAAGGAGTGAGTAGGAATTAACTCTTCCAAAAGGTGGAAGATTTCTACAGGAGAGACTGGAGAGAGGATGGTTAGGGAATTAAAATATGGCCAAGGTGCTGGGAATATGAGGACTGCAAGAGGTGTGGCTGCAAAGGCAGGGAGCGAAAAGCATTCTGGGCTTCAAAGGTCACGATGAAGGTTTAATGGGCTTTGTCCTAAGAACAAGTGGGCCTTGAGTAGCATATTCCAAGATACTTCAGGTCAGGACTATGTATAACTTGGGATGGGTAAGAGAGAAGCAATTATGAAAACAGGAGAGTTCTAATTTTGTTACAGTTGAAATATATTCTGTACCTCTATCACTGTGTGAGTGATCTCACCCAAAATCAAATTAAAGAAAGCGTAAGAATTATACTGATAACCATCATTTGTTTTCTCTCTCTCTCTCTCTCTGTACCAGGGACTGAACTCAGGACCTTGCTTGTGAGGCTTTCTCTCTCTCTCTCTCTCTGTACCAGGGACTGAACTCAGGACCTTGTGCTTGTGAGGCAGGCACAGTGTCACTGAGCTAAATCCTGGCCCCTGATAACCATTTTCAATTGGTCCATGTGCCTGTGACAAAGTGCTCTTATGTGCATTTGTGTGTACCTATAAACACTTAAGGGAGTACAGGCCAATTTTATATTTTTAAAGAGCAAAAGAGAAAACATTTGAAATTTTTACAATCCAATGAAAAGATCCATTTCACTGTTTGGCTATGGATCAGCACTATGCTTAAAGTTTCTTGCTTTTAAAAAGAAAAGTATTCTTTTTATAGGAAAATATTATGAGAATACCAACAAAATATCTTCCAAGGATTGTTTTAATCCCAACTGATTTTTAGTCTCACCTTGCCTATTCTACATTTGGATTTCAAAATACAACTACTAAAGGAAGTGATTTCCTCCAAAGTTTCAATTTTATCAAGAGTAAAATTTTAGGGCTGGGGATTTAGCCCAGTGGTTTCAGCGCCTGCCTTGCAAGCATAAGGTCCTATGTTCGATCCCTGGTCCCCCACGGAAACAAAACAAAACAAAACAAAACTCAAACAAAACAAAAAGAGTAAAATATAAGGGCCCAACATGGGCTGGGGATTTAGCTCAGTGGTTTTGGAGCCTGCCTGGAAAGCGCAAGGATCGGAGTTCGATCCCCAGTACCACACACACAAAAAAATAAAGGACCAACAAAATTACTAATAAAGGAATGACAACTAGGATTTTCTGAAAAGTTTCAGTATACCAGGTAGTGTGTTGGGCACCTTAATATCTAATTTAAATCCAATGACTCCGAAAGATGCATGCTATTCTCTATTTTACAGATAAGGAAATTGAGCTTACTTCATGGAAATAAGCATTTTCACAAACGATATACATCTTACACCCATGCCCTTCAATTGGGTGGTCTGTAACCATCTGTGACAATGAGACACTTAAAAAAGTGGATAGTTTGATCAAGATGTACTCGAAGTATCACATCCAGCTTTCAAAGATAGTATAAGTACCATACCCTGTTAATAACTTTGAATGATGACATATTGAAATGACAGTATTACAGTATAGTGGGTTAACTTCATTACTTAGATTAACTTTACTTGTTTATATTACTTTTACAATCAGTTACCTATTTAGTTCACATTATATTTCTATTGAACAGTGCTGACCTGGATGAAAGACTGTATAGTGAATGGGCCAGTAGACAAACTGGTAGAGAAAGCTGAAAGACAGACTGGTACAGAAGAAAATACATAATTTACACAGATCTTGGTTTAAATCTCCTCTCCATCAATGATGGTCTTGGGTAAGATACCACCAAATCCTTCTGAACTTTCGTATCATCTGCATTACAGTAATATTAAATCTCTTCAATAACCATTGTATAAAATATGTAAAGCAGCCAGCTGGCACACAATGGCCAAAGGGCAGGAAACAATTCCCATACCTCCTACAACTGGTTTCTTTAAAATCTGGTTCCCAAAAGAGTAGGAAGTTCACTCATTTGAAAACTATGTTTTATCTCTCAGTGGGAGAGGCTAAAGAACTCTTACATCTGCCCTAATATTGTATGGCTTATACATATATGGCATTATAATAGATGTAATCTCCAGCTAATCCTCTTTCTCTTTAGATTTAAATTTTTCATGACACTATAGACTGGGAAGCCAGATGAGATCATGGTGAGACATAGAAGGGCACAAGTGTTTCTTATGTACACAATAGTTGAATTCCAGTGAAAGCGTTTTGAACTCTAATTCAGCTAATCAATGTCAAGAACTGAGACTACTGAGTAAAATGGTACCTGTGTGAGTAGAATTTTACCGTTTTTGTTTCCTGGATCATAATGCAAACAAACAACACACAGGCTAACCCTGTGGACCGAAAAAAGTACTTACTAAGAAAAGCAATTGGCACTATATCATAAGAAACTACAAAATTATGTGGCCTGTGCTAGCCAATATTTTGTCATTTCTTTCCCCTAGGCTTGTGTCAAGACTTTAGCCCTGTAGCAGTGTATACATGCTTTACATTTTTATATGTATGCATTCAAAGGTGAAGGTGTGGCAGCTGGAATATTTACTTAGATTATTTGGCCTAAAATTGCCATGTGGCAATGAATGAGACTGTTTGTTTGTTTTTTAATTGAGAGGTTACTGGGGAAGGGGGTAATAATTAAGAATTTGAGTCACCTAAATGTAGTCTCTTAAATGTCATATATATATATATATATATATATATATACATATTATATACATATATATCCACACATACATATACATATTAAGCTTAATGTCAAAATTGTTCATGTCTTATCTATAAAACATCTTTAAGAAAATGAGACTGGGGAAATAAAACGTTGTTAGAGTCACAAACTGTAATGACCATGAGGGTATTCACTGTATTTCAATTTGCAATTTGCTACAAGAAATATCAAGCTTTTAGTTTAGCTTTTAAAAGGCATACTCAATTAGATGAGGTGGGGCAATGGAGAGAGGGCTTTCCTTCTGATCTATGTTGCATTAAAAACCCAGTACCTGTAACAAAATTTTTAGCACCTCCTGAGTAGAACTGACTTGATCCTAGCCCTCTGAAACTGGTAGACTCAAACTTTAAAACTAGTGTACCTACAATACACATACAACCATCTTTAGCACTTGCCTTCAAATTCAGGATTTTAGGTAGAATAAAACAGGAAAAAAGAAAATGACACAGCATTAACTAATGAGGACCAGACAGTCCCGAGTAATTAAAGAACAATTAGAAAATAAATCTACCCAAATTCTGGCATGTTACACTTCTAAAGCTTAAAATAATAGGGAAAAATAAACTCCATCAATTTAACAGAAAACAATCAAAACTTAGACCATTTAAGCTATCAGCCATATTTCCAGAATGTATTTTAGAAGGGTTTATCGGGGAAGAAATTCTTTGCACTAAATTTAAATTAGTTTATACTTGATCAAACCTTTGAAGAAACTTGCTTTACTTCTAGGAATCCCTTTTTTGGGGGAGGAGAAGAGGGATAGTGGCTAGATTAAAGAAAAAAAGTTAAGCCTCGTGCTTTCAGCATGAAGGGTATATCTGTGCCCCTATGTGCCAATACTCTCTCAGCCCCACTGAGACGTTGTCGTCAGATAATTTGATAATCTGTCTCTAAAGTTTTGCACTAGAGAGTTCATTTTCTGCAAAATGCCTTGGTCGAACTGAAGTCTCTTCTGAGACGAGAACGGCCTCAGTCCTGTCGAACTGACACAAGGAACAGCATAGGTGTGTGCAGCGTTTGCTGTCAAACGCTACAAAGGTGCATCTGTGCGCGTCCCACCCGGGGAAGGCCGCCGGGCTCCCGCAGCTCCCCTCTCCCTACACCTCTCCCCTCCCCCTCCCACAAGTTTTAAACTTTGTTTCCCTCGGAGATCTGCACCAGTGCAGCTACCGCTATCCAGGAGACAAAGGGCTGTGCTGTGTGGGTTCACGGGATGCCAACCAAATTTTTTAGTCGAGAAACAAAGCGCTCCGATTTGAGATTCAGGAAGAGGAGGAGGAGGAGAAGAGGAGGAGGAGGATGGTGAGCCCGGAGCTGGGCCTCTCCCTAGAACAGATCCCCGCCCGCGCCCGGCCCGCTCACCGCTTCACGCGGATGATCTGGTCCCGCATGGGCTTGATGTCCTGGAAGCTCTGCTGGTTGACCAGGCTGTAGACGAGGATGAAGCCCTGGCCGTTCTTGATGTACAGGTCCCGCATGGACGCGAACTGCTCGGTGCCCGCCGTGTCCAGGATCTCCAGCACCGACGGCGACGAGTCCACCTCGATCTCCTTGCGGTAGAAGTCTTCGATGGTGGGGTCGTATTTCTCGATGAAGGTGCCGGTAACGAACTGCACGGTCAGGGCGGATTTGCCCACCCCGCCCGAGCCCAGCACCACCACTTTGTACTCGCGCATCGTCCCTCCGCGGGCGCCGCCG